TGTGTGTGTGTGTGTGTGTGTGTGTGTGTGCAGAATGTAGAATTAAACTTAATATGTCCCCCTTTTATGCTCCTGTAACGCATTAAATGTGTTCGCCTTTCTACAGACACATACTATTAAGGTTTTCTTTTTATTTATTTCACTGCCCGCATTCAGTTTGTTGTTCTTCTATCGCCGTTCTGTGTGCAAATGAGTGTGAATGAGGGCAAATCGATAAAACAGGACTGTAAAAACAACAAATAATTACAAACAAAAACAAGTTACAAATGAAGGTTAACAGACTGACTAATCAGGATGGATACTATTTAAATAGTGGGCGGTGGGTAGAAGGATTAGTCATCACAATCTATTCATTTCGTTTGCATAAACAACTGCGTTTGAATTTATGTTTTTACTTTCGTTTGAAGGAAAACAATAATCCTATTTACAAAGCTATCCGTGTGGGGATGCGCTGATAGCTCAGTTGGTGTCTGTCTGTCTGTCTGTCTGTCTGTCTGTCTGTCTGTCTGTCTGTCTGTCTGTCTGTCCGTCTGTCTGTCTGTCTGTCTGTCTGTCTGTCTGTCTGTCTGTCTGTTTGTCTTGTCTGTCCCGTCTGTCTGTCTGTCTGTCAATCTGTTCGTCCGCTCGTCCGTCTGTCCGCCCGTCTGTCCGTCTTCAGTATTTATATTTATTTGCAACGGCATAAGGTCATAACGTGCGTGCGGGACACACTGGACATTTATTGCACTAGGGATTTATTCTAATTTTGCCCGGGTGGCGGCTGGAGCCAACTATTGTCGATTTTGGACCACCATTGGATCTTTAAAATGCGCAACTTGCGACCCGGGCCTCTGAGATATTTTTCCCTTATCCGAGAAGACGAGGTGTTAGATGTTACCTAAGGAGAGGGGGGGGGGGGAGAAAGGGAGAGGAAGGAGAGAGAATAGTAAGAAAACCTGATATCATTAAATCACAACTGTAATCCAAACATCTCTCTCTCATTTGCCGCTCCTCCACCACCCCCCCCCAAAAAAAAAAATCCCCATAAAAATATAAGGACCCCCCCTCCTTCCAAACAAAGAACAAAGCAACAACAACAACAAAATACAAATAATTTAAAAAAAACAACAACAAAAACCCCAACAACCTAACAACGAAACAAAGCAACAACACTCACCTTTCTTCCCAGGTGGTCCTTATACCAGACCTAAGCGGACTGACCGTCACATTAGCAGCGAGAATGCCCCTGGAAAACATCACGTATTGCTCACAGTTAGCGCAGAACGAAGTCAGACCCAACAGAGGCGCGTGCAAAGACGTGGAATACAGCATCATGGCCGCCTTGCTCAATGGGGCCATAGGTTCGTTATCTCATTCTTATCACCTTGTTCCACCCCCACCCCCCTCCCCACACGTTTTCCCTTCAGTTACAGGTTCTCATTTTTTTCTCACAAGTTTTAGCTGCTCTGTTTCTAGGACTTTAATATTAAATGCATTGATTGATTTATTTATTCTTTTATTCTTCTATCCATTTATTCTTTTATTCATTTATTTATTTCATTTAATCAATTTCTTCATTCATTAGTTCATTCATTCGTTCATTCTTTCATTCATTTATTCATTCAGTCATTCTTTCTTTCTTTCTTTCGTTCGTTCATTTGTTTATTCATTCGTTAACTAGCTCGTTTGTTCGTGCGTTCATTCGTTTATTCATTCACTTATTTATTCCCACATATCAGTTGCTTGCCTAGGTAGTTAGCTTTTTATTTAAGTGTTCATATACGTCTACTGTATTGAATTTATGTGTCTACTTACCTTATTAATGCAAAATCTTATATTAATATTCTGACATTTTCACTATTGGCTGTGTCATGCGTTGACAAAACTTTTTCAAAATGCTGAAAGGTAGAAAGTGTTTGTCGGCAGGCTATACTCTGGTCCAGGATAAGAAAGACGACAATAAGACGACGATAACGACGACGACGATAACTAACTGACAATACTACTATTCAGAATGATGTCATAACTAGTTTTGCACACGTTTAAACGGTAAATAGATTCCATATTACGTGTTTGATAGCGTGTATCACTTAGATTTTTCAACAGTGTTCTTTTCTCTCCTGTCCACGTGACCAGCTTGCTCGTGCAGTGGTGGCGCTGTCACAGGGTCAAATTGTGACCCCTACAGCGGGGACTGCGACTGCCTCCCAGGTGCTCTCCCGCCAAAATGTGACCGCTGCACTGCAGACACGTACGGCTACTCGGCCACGACTGGGTGCTTGGGTGAGTTGAACATGACAATAATTAGGATGACAGTACTACTACTACTACTACTACTACTACTACTACTACTACTACTACTACTACTACTACTACTACTACTACTACTACTACTACTACTACTG